GAAAAAGAACTGTGGTCTGTGAATCAGAAGCCTGGGTTTCAATCCTGCATGTGCCACTAATTAGCTTCTTGGACAGGTTGCTGACGATAATCAACATTTACTGAGCATCTAACATTTGGCTGGCCCTGAGTGAGGCACTTTACTCACATGTATCATTTCTGAAACTCTTCCAGGAGGGTATTTTCAGTATGTCTAGTTTATAGGTAGAGAGGAAGGTTCAGAGAGGCCAGGTATCATGCATGAAACAGTGGAGCCTAGGCTCAGGCTCAAGTGTGTATTAAGCTGTACTCCTGCTCATCCCCTGGCACCCTAATAAGGCACCTTGGGACAGGAGAAGAAACTCTGAGCAGTTGCTCTCTCAGATTCCTTTGATGGGATTTCTTTACTATATTGTTTTTGGATTTGGGAGGAAGAGAAGATAAATATGACCCCAAGAACTCATTTGGGAATGTAGTTAGTGGTTAAAGGATTAGGTTAACAGTCTAATTTTACCCCTCAACTTAAGCAACTACAACATGGGAGAGTCAGAGCACTTCTTTCCTGACCCAGCGGACCCTGTTCAGTGAGCACTCAATGACTGTTAAATCTTTGTTAACCTGATAACAATGATTATGAACATCATAAAATAAAGTCTCTCCAAGGCTGCTGAAAGGGAAATTCATAGACAAGAGGTAGATGCTTCTCAGTACTCACGAGGCCCCAATCTCTTCTGCTGACCAATCTTGAAAAGTGGCTGATGGTTCAGAGACTCCCAGAGTCACTGTATCAGCTAAGTAGATGCCCAGGGAACCTCCTCTGAGGATGCTGAGGAGAGAGCAACTGAAAGGCAGGAAGCCCAGAGCCCACAGGAAACATTAGCTATGCTCAGAAAAGCCCAGCCCAGTGTGAGGACTAGAGGCTTGAAGCTTGGAAGCAGGAAAGGGAGCCCCATGAAGAGTTCAAAGTAACTCATACTCCAGTTACTTCTGGCATCTGTACCATTTTCCTGACTACTACAGTAATACATTGGTATTTTACAGAGCTTTGCATAATGCAAACAGCAAAAGAGTCCCCTACCCAAGTTTTAAGAATCTTTGAAGTTTAAACAACAAAAAAAGAAAAAACAAATAAAGAAGAATCTTTGAAGTTTAGTACCTATAAAAAATTGCACAAATCACTCTCAATAAATTTTCTCAAAGTGAGGGGCACCTAGGTAGTCAGTACCTAAATCTTGGAATATAACATTATCAGAACACCAGAAGTATCACTATTGTCCCCTTCCAGTCATTACAGATCCTAATAGCAATTCTTTTCCTGATTTCTTTCCCTATATATTAGTTTAAAATTTTTAAATAAATGGGATCACACAGAATGTATATATCCTTTTGTGTCTGGTTTCTTTGATTCAGCAGTATGTTGTGCTGTGTGCTCAGTTATGTCTGACTCTCTGCGACCCCATGGATCATGGCCCACCAGGCTCCTCTGTCCTTGGGATTTTCCAGGCAAAAATACCGGAGTATGTTATGAGATTCATCCATATTGCTATTTAATATTTCATTGTATAGCCACAATGTATTTATTCATCATCAAATACTGATGTGTAATGGGGTAGTTTCCAGTTTTCAGTTATTGTAAATAATGCTAAGATCACTCTTGTACATACCTTTTGATGAGCATACATGCTCATTTGTCTTGTGTATATCCCTTGAAGTGCTTGGTTACAGGGGTGCATGTGTTCAGTTCTGGATATTCAAAGAGATATAAGGTCTCTGTGTGGGCTCCTGGAGAAACATCACAGTGTCACAACTCTCTAAGAAGAAGAGGATGAGGAGGGGGCATCCATTAGCTCTTGTTCCATGGCCTCCCAATGGATCTCTGCCTCCAGTCTATCCAGGTCACCATGACCTCCCCCAGATTCCATTCACCCTGTCATCTGCATCTATCCTCCCCAACAAAGACCTTTCTTTAAACCCAGCCACACTTCCAGGGTAGTACTGCATCCCATATCTGTCCACTTGCTGGCCTCGGATTAGATTTTAGTTATCTCTTGCATTCACTTATCCACATAACAAATATTCTGTGTCTACAACTCAGTTACACTGTTTTACAATTTGGGATTGGAGCAATGTCCACACTCCAATCTTCATGGAGCTAGCATTCTAGTAAGGAGAGACAGACAAAAACAAATAAGAATATGTTGGTGATGAGGGCAGTGGAGAAAAATAAGGCAGAATAACAAGGAGAGCAAGAGTGGGCTGGAACGTGCTATTGCGTAATAGGGTGGTCGGGAAAGGCCTGCAAGGCAGACAAGATCTGGATTATGTTTTAAATGATCACTAAGTTTTATGTTGGAAACGGGCTATATGGGAGTAAGGAGGAAGAAAGGAGACATCACAAGAGTCTGGGTAAGAGAGAATTCCCTGGTGGTTCAATAGTTAGGATTCTACACTTTCACTGTTGAGGGCACAGGTTCAACTCCTGGTCAGGGAACTAAGATCCCCACAAGTGGTGAGACAAATTCAAAAGTTAAAAAAAAAAGGCTGGGTGAGAAATGATGGCGAATTTGACTGAGGTAATGATGGTGGCAGTGATAAGAAGTGGCTGTACTCAGCATATATTCAAAAGGTAGGTCTGACAAGATTGGCTGATAGATGATAGATGGAATGTAGAGCATGACAGGGGAGTCAAATGTGCCTGTTTCCACCAGAAGCAATGCCTGCTTGCACAAACAGCATAGTAGGGTCAGGCCCTGAGGCCAAGGTCTGCTGACTGAATGGATAGATGCCTTTCTTGGTTACAACCTTTCCTTTGTGAAAGGTCTGCTCTCTCTTGCCTCAGATATGCTATCATATAAGTATTAAGACAAATAATAAAAGTCAGATTAAGAGTTGCAGCTCTGTCACTTACTAGCTAGGTATCCTCAGGCAAGTTACATAGACTTTCCAAGCCTCAGTTTCTGATTTTGGAAAAATGGGACAACAGTAGCTCCTACACAGGGTTGTTGGGGATACTGAGATAGTATACATAAACAGACCTGGTGCAGAGCCCAGCAGAGAGTCAGGGCTTAGAAAAGACCTACATTAAACCACTTCCCAGTTAAAACAAGCAGACAGAAGGCTACAGAGTAAGGGTTATCTTTATTTGAATTGCAAAGTATAAATATGAACCAAGTTTGGAAATACAGTTTTAGAAATACAGGTTTGGAAATACAGGTTTGTAACAGTTCAGTAACGGCACCAGAAACTTCCAGGAGGGACCATGACAGCATACCTTTGTAGTTTGGGTGAGGTGGGTGTGTTTACACAAAAGCCCTCCTCACCTCCATCCTTCTCTATAGCAATTGGTAGGTTATCAATTACTAAGAACAGTCAGCTCCAATGTTTCCTGTTCCTCCTCAGCCTTTTTCTTTGCGAATACCTTCTCTAGGTTATCCTCTGCTGCATTGACCCCTGCATGGAGTTAGCACCAGAAGAATGGCAGGAGTAAGAGAAATGTCTTGACACAAGGGACAGTGAGTTCCCACTCTGTGGACCTGGGCCCACGGACAGTGAGGGGCCAGGAAAGCTGGAAGCATGGAAGCCCAACCTCTTCTGGGATCGGGCAGGGAGAGGACACAGGATAACACTGATATCTGTTACATCTTGACATCAGCACCGCGGGCTTTCAAAACACAAACGGTAGACACAATCGCCTAGGCAAGACTGCAGTCCAACTCATAGAGTGGATCTGACAAAGTTAATTCCTACATCCTGACCATACAAAACTCCCCCTGTGGCACTCTGATCATGGAAGATCTTCAGAAATGTGGACAGACAATGGATGACTATAGATGGGTCACAGAGCCATCTCATGTTTGCAGCAGAAGAGTCTAATATTGAGCCAGATGGTGGGGGATGTGGGGTGGAAGGTCAGGAAATTGCCAAAGTAACAGTCTAGGCACTTGAAAAATTATTGTTAGATTGTTAAAAACTAAATAAATTAACATACATAGAATAAAATAAATATATAATTTAAGAGGCATTTTACAAACAAACAAACAAACAAAAATAGTTGTTATTTTTCCATCTGGGTGGAAGTCCCAAAATTCAGAGTTCTCAGGTCTATGGTATTTCACAGTTAACCCATCAAATCCAGCGCTGGAGGGTCCAAATGGCAGATCCCTTGGTGGCGACTTGAGTACATGGCTTCTCGATCTTTGTTACTTTCTTCCAGTCCCCAAATCTTTCTTTCTTCCTCTCCTTCTGTTTTTTCAGTCAGAGATCCTGGAGCATATGGAATTTAACTGGCATTTTTAATCCAGAAGAGAAGTGTTCAAACAAACATATGGGGGTAAGTAGGGCTTGGTACAGGAGAATCAGGAGGACACAAAGATCCCTCACTTTTGCTTTCTTCTGACCCAGATCCCACTGGACATATTCTGTTTGGCACTTGAAAGCTCTGGTATTTTGGCAAAGCAATTATGGGAGGCCCAATCTAGATGGCAACTGGGGATGAAGGAATCTTCATGGCTAGTTGTGAAGTCCTTCCCCTCTGTAGAATCCGTGATCAGCTTGTATCTTCTCAGAGGTAGCAGTCCCCAGCTGATGCCTAAAGTACAAGAAGAAGGTATTTAAAGCTGAACACAGCTTAAGAGGTCTTAAGAGTCTCCTAGGTCCAGCTTTAAGAAGTGGAAAATCTAAAAACAAATGACAACAACAACAAAAAGAAGTGGAAAGATCTTCTGGGAAGGGATGGGAAGGAGAGGAGTAGAGGATGGGAGAAGCTGTCTTCTCAGGCATCTCTCTTGGGTATCTCTCTGGCAACTTTCACCCTAAGTAGAGATACAGCACTGACAACCTTCTTGAAAACAATTCTGCAATGGGTCCCTGACTCTATGGTAGCCTGCCTCCTAACTCCTAGGTCAAGAGAAGAATGCCTAGATAGAAGAATCCAGCACGCCTGGATCTCTTCCTAGGTCCAGGAAAGGTGGTGATGGTACCATGGGGCAAAGGATGGACCATTACCTTGAGCGCAGGTTCCTCTCAGTGGGATGTGGTCATGCCCAACTTCACTTTCTCTTCATTTTCCACATCATAACCTCCTCTCCTGTGGTACCTGAGGAAGGTAAGTTTTGTGAGCAAGCTCTGCCTGCTGTAACAGGTGCAGGTCCCAGAGCTGGCCTCCTAAAAGATTCTGGCCCAGTGATTCTCTTCACACTTCGAAAAACCCAGAGGACATGGTGGGTCAACATATCTCCGGCCAAAGGTCCAAATGCCCATATCCAAAGGATGCCTGTCTCTAATAGCAGGCCACAATTTGCTAAGAGTTTTCATCTCATTTATACAATCCTCACAACAACTTTATGAGGTAGGGGAACAGAGATTACAATCCCTGCAAGATTACAACTTTTAGAAAGACAGGTAACTAGATCCAGGTCTCACAACAGATGAGCTGCACTGCTTATAAATGGGCACAGAGCATTTAGTAGGTCCCTCTGATCTAGAACAGAAGCAGGATCAGAAGCGTGGCCTGAGGTCCAGATGCCTCAGATTTAGAAAAATATACCAATAGCACCACCCATGCTCTGATGACCAAATCACATCCTGATGCCAACAGAAAATAGAGTCAGGAAAAAGAACTGTGTGAAGATGTGGCTTCATGGTAGGGTTGCAGAGCCTGCTAGGAGAACAGGACCTCCTATGACCTGGCGATTTTGGCCCTGGGCTCCAGACACTAGACATATGTCATACCAAAGAAGCCAGGCTCTTGGAGAACCAGTACCCAGAAACGTCAGTCAGGCTCTTAGCCCAGGATTTGGCGGAGGGTAGGGGAAGTAGGGGGTGGGGTTGGAGGTTTGGAGGGCTCATGTAACCATCAGATAAAAGACCCTAAAGAAGAAGAAACAGAAGTGATTGGCAGAAACAGCCTGTAACACTCACCAAAACATGAGAAGCCCCATGATGACCAGCAGACAGACGGATGACAGCACCACGGCCACCACAACCAGGATGGTTGTGTGATCATACGTGTACAAGCGATTTTTCACCGGGAGGCTCAGCCCATGGCACCTCTCTCCGTGATAACCCGGGTGGCAGCTGGTCCAAAACAGAACAAAGCAGAGATGAAGTTAGTGGTCTAGCTTCAATCCTGGAGATGGGCTGCCTACATAAGCCAAATCCCACTCCTCACAGCTTCAGCCTCTCTGTCTCTGTGATCCCTGTTGCTCCTCTATTCTTCTCTAGTACAAGTCTCTTTGGAAGCCCCTCTAAAGGCTCTGTGGCCTTCCTCCTTCACTCCAAGCCCTCCCCTTCTTTATCCCCTTTGGTTTTCTGGCCCCAGATTCCTGCTCCAGGCAGGGAAAAAGAAAGGACTGCAGGTTTTCACTAGATATGTTCCATGTGTGGATGATTAACTACATGTGTATAAAGATGTTGTTTCAGTCAGTTCAGAGGACTTAGGCACAAGAGCTGGTGGGTTGAACTGAGGGGATTCAGTATCACTCCCTCTAGTGAGGCCCCTCATCACTCTGACCCAGAAATAAACCCAGCCTTCCCCACCAAGGCTCCCAGCAGCCAGTCCCTCTCTGCCACTGCCCAGCCTATTAATAGGCCTTGTTCCTTTGCCAGGAGTCGTTTTTCTCAAGTTTCCTTCATTTAACTCGCAGCTCGCCCTGGGTGCAAGGCCCAACTTGAAAGCTGAATTCTGGCCTTTGGCCTCTGAACATCCAGCTATCATCCTAAGACAAAGCAAACAAAGCAAGAAAAACATCTTCTTGCCCAGCTGTCCTGCCAATGCATTTTAGAACATCAGAAACAAACCCCTTGGCTTTTTTCACTCAAGAAATAAATCAGAGGCTTCCCTGGCAGTCCAGTGGTTAAGACTCTATGCTTCCAAGGCAGGGGACGCAGATTTGATCCCTGGTCAGGGAACTAGGATCCTTGCCACAGGGCATGGCCAAAAAGAAAAAGAAAGAAATCATAGGCAACAGCCTCTTCTAAGAGGCTCTTGGGAAGACTGAGAAATGCCCACAGTTGATCAGGCACATTCATGTCCCTTTCTTTATCTGAGCATCCCACGGATCCTTTGATGTAGGTAGGAGCCCATGTCACAGAAAGGCAGAGCAATTTTCCCCATGGTCACACAGCAGGGCAGAAACACAGATGCAGACTGTCTGATGGTGAATTCAGTGTGCTGCTCACACTGCCTAGTCAGGGATGCAGTGGCACTGTCTGCCCATGGCCTTTAGGCCATTTGCTGCAAAAGGAAGCACCAAGAAGTTGGGAGCCCTTTGTTCTGAACTGCTCATCCTCTCTGGAGAAGGTGAGGCACCTGGTTCCTCAGAGCAAAGCATCCCTTTTTCCTGTGGAGAGGTAGCAGGCAAGTTCCAAGGAACAGACCTATGCAGACCCAGGGGCTGGGCTGCCCCTGCCATCCTGCCCAGCACCTCTTCCTCTCCCACCTCCTGCACGTTCCGGAGAACCATCTCATTGCAAGATAAAGGTAGGTCAGGCCCACAGCACAACACACAGCTCCTTGCCCAGCCTCTCCACACAACTGTCCCATCGACCCAGGTGGGCAAGACAATGACCCCTATTCCTGCCAGGACATACAGGATGCTCTCAGGAGCACCGCTGGAACATCACCTGTGCACCACACTTTACAATTTACAAGACACTATTCTTATCAACTAGCTTAACTAAGACAACACCCTGGTAGGCAGGGATAGCCTCTTTTACACATATTGAAAGACTAAGATTAAGGTCAGAAGAGAGTAAACAATTTGCCAAATGTTTCAAAACTAGAGAGCAGAAGGGCCAAATTCCAAATTCGTACTTCTTTCCATTCTGAACAGTGTTGGTTACCCCAAGGAAACACACATCTGATGGGCTTGAAGGATTCTGGGGGTTGCCTGACTCTGATTTCTCAATTATTAGTATCTTGAATGATAACTAAATAATAATTAATAGCACACATTACAGGTTTACTAGGAGCCAAGTACTGTGCTAATGGCTTTAAAAGGATCATTTCTTCTTAAAAATATCCCTCTGAAGTAAGAGTTACTATCTCCATTTTAAAGATGAAGGGACTGAGGTTGAACTTCTGTTAGACAACCTGCTCAAGACTACACAGCGTGTGAGTGATAGAGTAGGGTCAGGATTCAACTCAGCAATCTGGCTGACTTTAGAGACTGTGCTTTCCTGGGGGGAGGGGAGCTGAAGTTGAGTCTGTTTTTCACTTCAAGCCCATCATTCAAACCCCACAGGTACTTACTCAGATGATAGAAATAAAGCTTGGCCTCAGAGTCCCGCAATTCAGTTACATAATCCCTCCACCCACTCTGCCACCCTGAGTCAAAAGGATAATAATGTAAACATCCTAATATTACCCACCTCCCCCTCCCTTTGTAGACAACTCCTGGCTCCCCCAGGGAAGGGGCATTCCAAGCATCCCAGGGTGGTGACAAGATCGTGTCTCTTGCCCAGAGCCAGCGACCCATCAAAACGGGACGTGCTCCTCCTACCCACGTCTGTGGCCCATTTCAGAACGTGTATTATAACAGAACCCTCTAGAGTCCAGAGACATCTTCCAAGTTGGATTTCTCCATGCCTATCCCAGGAGGTGGAGGGGCACCATTTGGCAGAGGCGACTCCGCATATATGAGTTCCAGACTGGCTCTGCTACTATTTCTAGCCAGGTGATCTGGAGCAAGGGGAGGTCACGTTTCCAAGCTTTGATTTTCTCATGTGAAAGACAGGAATAATAAGTGCCTACCTCACTAGAGCTTTGTGAAGATCAAATGAGATAATATGGATAAAAGCACTGAATAAAAGGCCAAATCCCACTTGCGTGGGAGTTAATCAGATTCCAGAGGATACTGCCCATATCCTTAGGAAAGGAGTACCAGAGTCAGACAGAGTCAAGGGGAAGGGGGCTCACTATTGCTTCTTGGCATCCTGGCAGTGAGGCCAAGTAGAGCCCTCTTTCAGCCCTGAGTCCTCCTCGGGCTAATTGCCCTAGGCTTCCTCCAGTCACAGGAAATTTTGCAGTCAATTTCTGGGTCAGAAGCTCGTCAGGAGCCCCAGGAAACTGCTCTTTGAGGGTAACTTTTGGCTGGTGACATAAAAGGATTTTCCTGTGGATAATGGCTGCGGAGGGCTGGTTTAGGAAGCTGGCCAGCCTCAAGCTCACCACGGCAGCCTGGACACACCCTGGCTGGCGGTTGCTGGATCTGGAGGCTAGAAGGAGCCACGAAGGGCCCCAGATTTAGGTGCCTAGATGTCACATTCTCCCAAACCAGGAGCTCTGTGTCTTCTTGCTGCCTGCTGCCCTGAGTACCAAGGGCTGGAGGCAGGAGACAGAAAAACGAGACCCAGAATCCAGTCCCTTGAAAATCTACCTCGGAAGCAGACATAAAGTCATCATGTCAGATTTCAACATGCTCTTCAACTAGTAAAAGCCTTAAGAGACCTCTAGTATAATAACTTCGCTCTATAAAACTGTGCTCCAATTCTGTAAGAACAGACGGGGAAGAAGGAAGCAAGCCAACACCTAGTGCAGCCTGGGGGCATGAAAAGCATGTTGGACTGGAAGTCAGGCACCTGAGTGCCTGTCCTATTTCCACCCACTTTATTTAGCTGCTGATCTCAAACCAAATCATTTCCTACTTCCGGGCTCCAGTTTCCTTATCTTTCAAGTAGAGACAGCAAGCCCTGCCTACCCAGCAGAGTGTTTTTGAGAATACAAGGCTATATTTTCCCATCCCTTAGAATAACTGGCACCAAGTGGGTGCTCAACATATACCTGTTGGGCTCAATTCATATTAAATGTAAACTGTTAAGCTCCAGGAAAAAGGAGAGAAGGCATCATCACAGTCTTCATCACCATCCCTAGGGGCACCTTGGCTCTGGACACCATTACCTAGGTCCTTTGGGCTTAGGTAGTGGGTCGAGCCCAGCTCTCCAGGAGAGCATCCTTACAAGGGTTCTCAGCTGAGCAATCGAAGTCCATCCACTAGTGCCCTGGCCAGTTCAGCCCAGACAGATTCCTGGCCTCAATCCATCTTGACAACCCTCAGAGTCACTGTCTCCACCCTGTGTTAATGAGGCCATTTTACAAATTTAAGACAAACATTCCCTGCCCTGTCCCCAGACCTCTGGAAGAATAATATGGGGACTGTTTAGGTTACTCTTAAGCACCCCCATCCAATACCAAGTTCCTGATACAGATATTAAAGGAGAGGACCCACAAGTGACTGTGGACATGGAAAAGGGTGATGGATCCTACTGCCAAACACAGGGCAACTCTGCTATATGAGATCAGATGGCAAAAGGAAGCTTTAAAAAAAATCAAAGTATCTGTACCAATCACAGCAGAAGTGTCAGGCAGCCAAGCCTTCCTGCCACGCTGGGACGCAGTGTGCACACAGTAGTTTCCTGATCTGTCCAGAGTCTCCCAGGTCACAGAGGCTGCCTCCCCATAGAAACTCAAGCCCAACAGAAGAGAGGGCATGATTGCAGCCTGATGTGGGTGTGGGTCTCGGGCACAGTGGCGACATTATGCCTGCCACAGAGCATGGCAGTGTCGTCATCCCTGAGGGACTGCCAAGGCAGCCGTTTGCTGGGCTCAGCCTAGCAGAATAGCTGGGGGAACCCATGGCCCCTCCACCCACAGCCCTCCCCAGGGAAGGGGTGGTGCCGTCTAACCGGGGGCTGATGCCTACTGAGACGGGTTCTATTTTCCGTTAATCCTGCACAAAGGAAGTGTTCTCCCACCCCCATGGCCAAAGGTCAATACCCACCACGTCCCCCACATCCTGGCCCTCGCTGGGGTGAGGAAGAAGGGTTTCTCCCTGCTCCCACAATGATTGCTTTCTGTACAATCCTGCCATGCCTTACAATTAACCCACATCTGCTCACTCACATGCACATTTGTCTGCGCACACCTGCACAGCACACGTCCAAAGGCACCCCATACCTGCCTGCAGGACTTGGGAAAGAAGGCCACGGGAGCTGCACTCCACCCAGGAGCCCCACTCTGCCATGTTTCCTACTCTCTTCTCCCATCTGGAGTAGGGCATGAGGCAGAGATGAAGAACCTGCCTTCAGGTGTCAGCTCTCCTAGTCACATGCTCATTTCTGAGCAAGCAGGAAATGCCCCCAAAGATGAAAGAGCGTCACAAACCCACGCCACAGGAAATTGCATCCTATGTTGGGGGGAGCCCCTTCCGCTGACTAAAAATATTTCCCCTCCTCCCAACTTCCTCCCAGAGGGTGAGAAGAAACTGAGTGGATTTATGAATTCAAGGAACAGTGATAACAGAAGAACAACCACTAGGCTGACAGAGTGAGCTGATAACAGCCCCAGGGAAGGGACACTTACATGCAGGTTGGAACCCGGAGCTCCTTCACATATTTGCATTCTCCATGGATGCAGAAGTCCTTGTATTTCCGAAGACATGGGTTCCTCTTCTTCCCTAACCCCTTGCCTTTCTTCTTTCTTTTCCCACGCTCCTCCTTGCTTGGTGTGGCCAGAGCTTGTGGCTTGGAGGAGAAAGCAGCTGCAGTAGAAAAGTATCCTGTTAAGTCTTTGACTCCCTCAAGGGAAAAAAAATCAGAACAGCACAGTGTTTGGAAGGACACTTTGATTCTATCTAATCTGGGCAGACCACCCAAAGGTGCTAGAGGAAGTAGAGGCTGGTGGGGGGGGTCCCAGAAAAGGCATTTCACAACCTCATTTCAAGAACTTCATTCTAAGAATGCTAGCTTCTGTTGAGTAATTGCAGCTGATTGGGCAATTCTACGGACCTCACCCCCACCCCCCCACTGTCTATCCTCATCTCCTACTCCCCCACACCCACTCGGTTCTATTTTGGCCTTAAATCAGCCTCATTTCCTGATGTTGCACTCAGTGACCCACTTGCAGGAAGACAGTGTCAGAGATAAAAACTGCTTCTGGAGAAGGCACTTGGAGGGTATTTTAGAGGAAAGAGGTTCCTAAAATAATAATAATGCCTATGTCCAGGCAGTACCCTCTGGGGTACCCTTTAGCACCAGGGTACCATAAGCCCAGACCAGAACCCAGCTCAGGGACAGCAAGCAGGCCATCCCTGGTCAGACACTTGCTTCTTAACTTTTTAAGATTTTTTTAGATTTTAATTTTTAAAAAATATTTTTATTGATTTATAATATTGTGCTAATTTCAAAGAGCCTTGCTTTTTTGACATCAAGCAAAATATCTACCCTGCTCGGTGCTCTTTACAGCTCACTACTTCTCGAAGGCCCATTTACATTTATCCCCAGATGTCCCGTTTATTGCTTTCTAGGATGGGGTGCCCAAGAGGTAGAAAGGTGGAGAGCAAAGAACTATCAAAAGGAACTAGAACAATGATGGCTCTCTCCATTCTTTCCATGCTTCAAAGGGGAAAAACAATCTCACACAGACATCCAGTGGGGACTGACCTTGGGCTATGCCCATCAGCCCAGGGGTCTGACGCCAGTCTTCCCTCCCCTGTCCCAGCAGAAGAAAAGTTGCCTGCTGTCTATGGCTATAGCCACATGTCTGGCAGAAGGGTGAGCATCATACATTATTAGACTGGAGGCCTAGGATTCTGAAAGTAGAATTGACTTCAAAATATGGCTTTCCATTTTCAGAGGAAAAACCTGAGGTCCCAAAAGGCAGTGACTTGACCAAGGTCATGCAGGTGTTTGGGATCTGAAATGTGGTCTCTGGACTCCATATCCAGTGCGCTTCCCCAACACACTAAAGTACCCCATACACCCCAGCAGTGTCCTCCTCCAGACAAGCCCAGAGCACCTGGGATGCTGAGCCAGGAAGAGACAACGAATGGGCTCTGAAGTCAGCAGAATGGTGCTTGAATTTCAGCCATGTGATCCTGGGCAAGTCCCTTAATCTCTCTGAACCCTGGGATTCTCGGTAAAAAGTGAACAGGCGTTCCTATTTCAGAGGGTTGCAACAGGACTAATTAATTCATAATAACATGCTAAGTGACTAGAACACAGGAGATACTTACTAAATGGTAACAGTTACTTATTTCAGGTGACAGGATCCCTAGACTTGAAAAATAGTCTTTGCCCAGCAAACCCGAGAAAAGAGAAGAGACAGGTGCCAATAGTCCCACAGTCCCCTGTTCCTACAGTGCAGACCCAGGACCCTTCAGAACTCAGAAGAGGCAGATGCTCAGAGGAAATTAGTGACCACAGTTGTGGTGAAACTGAGGCAGGAGGACCAAGCCAATCAGAAAAGGGAGGGAGAGAGTGACAGGGTGACAGCGGGGCTCCTGCCAGGGAAAGGGAGCAATGAGTCAGGTCTGCAAGGTATGAGGAGCTGTGTGGGTGGGGAGTGAGTCACAGCCCAGCTCTGCCCTGCCTAGGAGAGGACAAGGAGAATCCAGGTTGTTCAGGCCAGGGGTGACCACCCCCCCACCACCCCGGAGGGCGACTGTGAGAGGATGGAAGGTGAGAGCCCAGCCTCAGCTTTGGAGTGGACAGCACCTAAGGGAATCCCTGGGTAAGGAAGAAAAAGAGTGGCAGAGAAGCAGGCGGAGCTAGAACAGGTGGGTATCTTTCCAACCAAATATAGTCATTCTGGGGCTCCAGGGTTCAGTACCTGCTCCACCCTCAAGAATCTCTGCAGGTGACTGGGGGCAGGGAAGCAGGTGATACTGGAGGCTCTGGACTCTGCCCTGTGCTTATATGCACTTGGCCACAGCACCTTTGCTGGATGAAGGATCCCACCTGGCCCTTCCTCCCCTGGAGCCCCTCTCAGGGGGGTCTCAAAGTGGTCAGGAAGTATCCAGGCTTGTGAAGGATTTGTGGACACCCATCGTATCAAAACAGCTCTCTAGGGTCCCAGTGCTCACCATTCACAGCCTCCCCATGAGGTGCTGGCCTCACCTGGGCAGGACCAAGTGTTCCTCATGCCCCACTGTTTCCCCAACCTGGAGACAGGTGGATGCAGGAGACCAATCCTGCACAACTGGTATGTGCCTAGCATCTCCACATCTGTGACTTTACACATAATAGTCAATTAATGTGGAAATTAGGTCTTGTGCACATTTTTACATAGAAACTCTAGGGAAAGCATCTCAACCAGTCCTTGTTCCTGTCACCCAGCTTACCTCAGAGAAGAACACACAAAACCCAAGCACCTTGCCTGTCTCAATTTGCCCCCAAGTATGCAGAAGGGCAGCAAAGTGGCATGTGAGACCCGAGGGCAAGAAAGACAACAGGACCTACGTTCGAGGATCCCCCAGGGAGCTTGTCCGGCCAAGAGGCTTTTCCTTGAAGTCCTCTCTTGAAAAGCCCCAAACCACAGGTGTGCCCAATCGGCATGAACACCAGATCCTATGATACTTCAACTGACCACCAGGGTCCGAGGATGGGCTGCCCCCACACCCACCTCTGAAAAGGTCCAGGTTTGCCTCTTCTAAGTCCAGGACTTCCCGGCCTTGGCCGCCTCCCGCGGGCAGCAGCTGGTCCGTAGATTGAGTAGGGGAATCCAGATTGCTGGTTCCAGCAGCCAGGCCTCTCCGAAGCCGCTCCAGGCTCTCGCCAGTCACCAACGCCGAAAGCACTGCGGGTAAGGGGAGAGGCCGCCTCAGACCCCCAGCCCAGACCCCTGTCGCCATGCACCGCGGCCGGAGCCAGGGAGCAAGGGCCCCACCAAGTGGCCCGCGCCGGGGACGCTGCAGCGATCTTCCCCCGTGCCCCCAGCAGAGTCCCCATCCCCCCAGACCTCCGGGAGCGGCGGCAGCCCGCTTACCTGCAGCAAGAAAGAGCTTCAGCACTACCGACGGCAGCAGCTTCATGGTCCCGGACTCGGCGGAGGCGGCGAGGCAGCAATCACTTTGGGGGGCGGCGGCCACCGGACGCTGGCACGGGAGCCGGGCTGGAGAAGCGCTGGAGATCCCGGCGGGCACGGTCGGCTGCCGGCCTCTGGATGCAAGCTTGCCTAGGATTTGCGCGGAGCTCGCGGCCGCTGGGCGTCTCTCTATTCACTCCCTCTGTCCGACCGCCCGAGCCCTAGTGCCTCAAGCAAGAGAGCCAGCTGCTTGCCGCGCGCAGCTCCCTGGGTCGACTGAGCGCTCCTCGGCGTGCAGCCTGGAATAAGGCTCCGGGAGGCGCCGAGGCTCCGCCCCGCCCCCCGCGGCCCTCTCCCCCCTCCCGCTCTGGGATGCCGGCCTGGCTCCAGGCGCCAACCGCGCAGCCCCCGACCCCGCGGGCGCGGCGGGGAAAGGGGGCGGGAGAAAGGGGCGGCGCTCACATATTTTGGGACTAGGCCAGGGCAGCCGCGGCCTGACTGTGGGTAGGGCTGCTGACCGGCAGGTGGCGGGGGCCAGTTCCTACCTTTCCCCAAATGCTGGTTCGCCGCTGCAGCCTTGTGACCGCTGAGCTGAGCTTCGCCCTTGGACACCCCTCGTTCTTTCTTCTCTTCCAGGCCTGGTCCCTCCGGTTATCCGTGCTGTAAACCAGAGATCTCCGCCCATGTCTTCTTCTGAGTTTCAGAAACCTGCTTCTTTTCCTACCCACAAATCAAGGAGTAAAAAATAATTAATTCATTTATCATTTAAAAATTAAACACATGAATGCCATCAAGTCTCGTAAGCCTAAGGTTACCAGAGTTGCAGCTGCAGGCATCTGGTATCAATCCAGCAAAAGCAAAGGAAGTTAGTATTCTTCCATCCACTGGAGTGGCTTCTCTCCATCTTTGTCCCAGATGACATAGTCTCCATTAGGATTTTTGAATTGTGGATTATAATTCCCAGGCTTCTGGGATTGAAGAAACACAGGCTGTGAAACCAACCTCATACTTTTCTTTGTTTTTGAACGCCATCTTCTTCAACAGAAAAACTGAGCCCCCTCCCACAGGACCCAGCTGGCTGGCCTAGGTTGCCACCTTCGACGGGTGCCAGGAGATTGATGTGTTTGTCTTCCAATCTATGTATTTTTACAGAAATCCTCTGGAGTCAATGCCCTGACCCAAAGAAATGACTCTCTCAGTAGGCATTTCAGCTCCCAGGGACATGCTGGGCCGGGAGTTGTATGACACAGGCTGGGTTGGCATTCAGAGCCCTCAAATTGTGCCAGATAGAGCTGCTTGCCTGCTTCAGCCCATGTGTAGGGATAAAAACAGGCCTGCTATTTATACACAGTCTGTTCCACTCTCCCTCCCCATCCATAATTCTGCACAAGTCCATGGGGCTCTGCCTTCTTAACTTGCCCCTAGCAACTCTCCCCAGGTTTAGGTTTCCACAGGGCCCTGGAATCACTATAGACCTAAGCTGGAATCCTGACTTGGCTTCTTACTGTGTGACCTTGGACAAGATGTTTAATCTCACTGAGTCTCAGTTTCCATGTCTCTCAAATGGGAATAACAAAAATAATAATGCCTACTTTATAGAGAGCTTCTTGAAGATTGATCAAGGGAACACATATAGAGCGGTCAGCACCATGCCAGACATGTTCTAGTAAGTGTGCTATATTATTAGCATTATTATTACTAAGCATTCTACATTGACCATTTCATTTCTTTAGAGACTTCTTTTCTCTCCCTTCCCCACAGGTCTGAGGCTTCATGTGTGGTTGGGCTGGTTTTAGGAGGAAGCTTACCTATCACCTATTTGGCCAAGCGCCACTGTGGGATTGTTCCTTTGGGTGATCAGTATCGGGCCCAGGACCTCAGTAGACAGTCACCACCCAGGCCACACCTTTGTTCTCCCCCAACAGCTGCCTGACAACCTGCTTCCCACAGCAAAACCACCTCAGGGTCAGGGCTCTCCCCAGGGGAGGGTGGAGGGAAACACTTCCTGACACACAGCCAAGTCACCCCCTTCCCCCTACCTCTGCCAGGTTCACACCCTGCTCTCCTGTCTCAGCCTGCCTCTCGATTCACACGCTCTGTCCTTCCGCCTTCTCACCCTCACATCAGTTGTAGCCCATTCATGGGGCAACTCCAAGTTTTCATCACACCTGTGAGCCTCACCCCAGCTACGTTTATGTGTCAGCCAGTTTTTACAGGAAGGACCTGGAGAAAGAATTCAAAAGGCCTGGAATGGTTTGGGGACAGTCACTTCTCCTCTCAGAACTTTGCATGTCCTCTAATCTGAAAAAGAAATCATGGACTTATCTGGTGGTCCAGTGGTTAAGAATCCACCTGCCAAAAAAAAAAAAGAATCCACCTGCCAATGCAAGGGACACAGGTTCAGTCCCTGGTCCCAGAAGATCCCACATGCTGCGGAGCAACTAAGCCTGTGTGCCACAACTATTGAGCCCACGAGCCCCAACTACTGAAGCTTGCAGGTTAGAGTCTATGCTACGCAACAAGAGAGTAGCCTCCATTCATCACAATCAGAGAAAGCCCACGCACAGCAAAGACCCAGCTGAGCCAATAAATAAATTAATTTTCAAAAATAGAAAAAGGAGGGGCTTCCCTGGTGACTCAGTGGTAAAGAATCTGCCTGCCAACGCAGGAGATGTGGGTTCAATCCCTGGCTCGGGAAGATCCCACGTGCCACAAAGCAACTAAGTCCAAGAGCCACAACTCTTGAGCCTATGCTCTAGAGCCTGGGAGTTGCAACTACTGAAGTCTGCGAGCCTAGAGCCCATGCTCCTCAACAAGAGAAGCCCGCAGTGAGAAGCCTGCACAGCAACAGACCCAGCAGAGCCAAAAATAAATTTAAAATTATATTTAAAAAAATAGAAAAAAGAATCATGATTCATTCTGGAGCAATATCATTAACTCATTTATTCCACAAACAATCACTGAACACGTTTCAGGCACTAAGAGACAACAATAAACAAGACAGCCGGGCAACACATTAAATAAATTAAAAAGGAAAATAGATCCTATGATGACAAATACTAAGATGAAAGTTAAATTTTAATGATATACTCTAGGAAGCTATGTCCCAGTGCTTGGAACAATACTTCAGATTTGGTGACTGATTAGCAAAGGTCTTTCTGAGCCTGTGACCTGGAAGCTGATGCTTGAATAACAGAAGGAACCAGACTTGTGATTATCCACTGCTGAAGTATTCTAAGCAGAGCAACTCGGGCAAAGACTTTGAGGTGGAAACAAGCCTGGAGCAGTCAGGGAACAGCAAGAAAGCCAGAAAGGAGGGAGGGTTAGGAGATAACATTAAAGCAAAGACCAAGGACAGATAACATAGAATGTTATAGCCCCCAGGTTGTTGTTATTGTTTATTTGCTAAGTCATGTCTGACTCTCTTTAAAAGCTTTGAACTGCAGCCCACCAGGCTCCTCTGTCCAGGCAAGAAAACTGGAGTAGGTTTCCATTTCCTTCTCCAGGGGTCCTCTCCTGCATTGGCAGGCAAATTCCTTACCACTGAGCCACCAGGGAAGCCCCCAAGCCCCAGGTAGATGCTGGATTTTATTCCCTATCTGCGAACATCAAAGGCAATGTCAGTGGGGAAGCACAGTTAGAAAGGATTCTTTCCCCTCCTCCCCTTTCTCTACCCAGGCCTCCTCATGCTCTCTGGTGTTTAAGCGCCAAGGACACACTCCTGACGAAGCAGACAAGCCAGTCTGCTTTCCCTGACTATCTAGTGATGGATGATGGTCAACTGAGGCTTGGAAACCTGCTGACCCTGGGTCACCAGTGAGTCCCAAGGAGACAAATCCACAGCAGAAACCCTGGCATCCTGCTTCCCAGCTCTGTGCTGGGTTCTCAGGCCTCTGGAAAGGGAGGCTCCATGGTCACTCAGCGACCCTGAGTGTCACTGACTCTCTGCTGGGCCACACAGCCCTACATTTGGGAAGAGCACTTGCGAGCCAGTGGGGAGGAGGTGCTGGTGGTGACAAGAAAGGGGAGAAGGGAACGTGGAGAAGGGACCTACCTGTGTCCCTTCCCCAAATGTGGCTGAGATGTCTATGCAGGTCAATTGGTGCTCCCAAACCTAACTGTGCATCAGAATTACCGGAGAACTTACTTAAGATAAAGAGGTCCAAGCCTCATCCCAGTCCTCCTAATTCAAAACTTCCTGGGGTGGGGCCCAAACATTTACATTTTGAGCAGGTAATTCTGACATCAACCAGGGTTTGAAGCACTGGTCTACATAATTAACTAGGGTAACGAATTAAGCATCTGAGCAAAATCTGAATCTCTGAGGCAGAGACAGTCAAGCTTTAAGTAATGACACCTCCCATGTGCTCATAATCTTGCATGATCTTCACAACTGCCCGAAGACTAGCTACTCCTCCCTATTTTAAAGGGGCAAAGCTAAAAACAGGTGAGTAACAGCCCAAGGCCACCCAGTTATTAAGAATCTCAGACTCAATTAGAATTCCTCTTTTTCTCCTGGGCCTGTGCTTTTAAGGTTCAGCGCTACTCTGGACAAACACATGAGACGATGGCCGCCCTCTTCTGCCTCTATGGATAATAACGTCCTCAGCTTTGCTGAGGCTCAATGCTCCATCTGTTCTGCGGGAGGTGGTAAGAATCTCTGCCTCACAGACTGGAGGGAGGCCTAGGTAAGAGCAGCAGGGCAGCTAACGAAATGGAAGCCAGGCTCTCAGGAGCCAGACTGCCATGGGTTCAAATTTGGGTTTTGCTATTTTTCTTGCTTTCTAACTTCAGACATGTTAGTCAATTTCTCTGATCTATAGTTTGCTCATCTGCAAAATGGGGGCAATAATAATAGAAGAATATGATGCCTGGCCCATTGTAGGTGCTGACTTAGTGACAGCTGCAGTTAAGAGCAGATACTTTCTTCCTCTTTCTTCCTTCCCCGCTTCCTTCCTTTCTTTCTTCATTCCTCCCTCCCTTCCTTCCAGTGGGAGTTTAGTAAGG